CAAAGCGCTCGATCTCGACGATCTTACGGGAAAATAGGTGACTGTGAACAGTCTACTGCGCGCGCTCTCCTTTATTACTGGCCTTATTGTAAGTTAATTAATCCAGGGAATATATTACATGTATCTTACCAATGGTGGCGTCGACCGGTAAAATTGGCAACGACCGTAACGAAAGGGAAGTAGGCGTCGTCGTGATTTATTACCTTTAGTGAATGATTATGGAGATGGGTCAGATGCCAAGACAAGGCATCTATAATTCTTATTCTGCCTCAGCCTTTGGCTCAATTAATAACACTTTCCTCGACCTTGATTGTTCCTAATATCACTGGCACCTCATCCAATAACTGTTTATAACTGTGTATGTAATTTCCGTTACAGGAGAAACTTAAAAAGAAAAAGGCAGCAGTGAAACTTAAGAGGAAAAATTACGAAACAGAGTCACTCAAAAAGGTAAGAAATGTGGGAAAGTTTTTCATGTATTTACGGTATGATGTGGTCGTCCTGGATTGGTAATATTTAATTCTGTAATCTATAACTGACTTCACTTAGCTTCACTTAATTTCAGACTACATAACAGACGAAGATTGGCGACAACATTGTTGAGACATTTTCCTCAAATGGTGTAACTTCGGAGAACAAAACAATCCACACCTCTTCTCTGTCCCCTCCATTCAAAGTTGGAGTGTTTTATGCTGTCTACAAGTAGCTTGAACAGCAACACAGCATTGTACCGAGGGGGTGGCCAAAAGTCAGACAGGCCCTTTAGGGCAAAGTGTCTCAATTAATTTTGTCGCCGATGGTAGATAGAGAGTTATGCAAGGTATGTAGTGTATCTATTGAATAAATGGTAAAAGTAGAATTTGTAAAAGCTTTTGAGAATGTGTGTAGTGGCTGCAGCGGCATATCTTGTAGAGATGATGACCACACTAAAAATAAGAAAGAACTGTTTTAGCCTCAAAGTGCCAATTCAGCCCTGCAGGCCGATGTCTGATCCAGCCCGTCCTTCAAGCGAAAACAGCCCAATCTAAAGGTTCTTCCAGCCTACGCTCGAGCCCATTTCAGCCATTGGGTCCAAATCAACCCTAGGTAGTTGGACTGTATTGGCCCTGATTTAAGGGAGCCAAATTAGGTTCAAAAATAGGACTGCAATTTACTTACCGAAACGGCCCCATTTTTAGGGCTAAAACAGATCTTTCTGATTTACAGTGCACCTACGTTGTAGCTGAAATCCTCTCTTGCTGAATTGCGGAGGGTAATTTGGTTGAAGCCTTGTATTTCGTAAATTTCAACATTTTTCCCTTAAAATCATGACGAAACTTCATTTGGTCTAAAACTGGTGAATTAAAATTTATGGACGGTGCTAAATCGGTCGCCTGTGTGCAGCCGCCCCCCTCCTCCTCCCTCCTCTTTTCCTGAGGGAAGGGGGGTCTGTACACAGGCTACTCAATTTGCTGCTCTGTCATTGGTTAAGGTGCGGCGTTTCTAAGATCTGCGCGCGCCGCCGAAACTGTGGTTGCGTTGTCTGTGCTAAACTGAATCGGCCTACTTTTTTACGTGTAAACTCTTTTCTTCCCTTCTTTCTTTAATTCTCAATTCGCCCCATTTTCCCTAAAAATTCAATCTCAATGCACCTATAAATGACTACGCGTGATGTGAATGTGTAGAAGCTAAGGTGTCTGAGGTTGTATTTTGTCAATTTATAGGAACTCATGTCCGCTGACCGAGAACTGAATGAAACTGCAGTCAAGTTGCAACTTCTCGAGTCCAGCAGAGTAAGTGGAATTCTGATTTGTATTTACCTTCCTTAGCGGACATTGTTTTGGCTCAAAACATAATAGTTTTCACAATGTTGGGAATGGCTAGTAAGTTATCCAACACTGTCACAAGCGGTTCTTAACACTATTTATTTCTCTCACGATCTCCTTCGTTTTTACAAGATCTAAACTCTCTTCCAAACTGTTCCCCGAGATCCCCTTGGACAGACAACTCCCCCTATTCTGATTGGTCGTCTACGCTCTTATGATTTCCGATCTAATTGCATTGTCAATCACGATTTGACCCTAAGTTCTCGATTACACGTCATTCAACACTTGGAAACGATATGCACTAATAGATATTATCATAAACCGACACGATTCCGACAACAAAATTGAGCTTTGTTATCTCTGAGAACACCTAGTTCTATTCCCGATGTCAATGGATGTTAAGGGATACTAGTACCAAGAATATTGTTTTTTTTCTTTCATTCTTCTTGATAAGTTTCCCTCCGTGGAACAGTTATATTTGACTAAGCCATTTACTTGTAGGCGTGTTTTAGTTACTATCATTCGTAAGTCTGCCATTTCGTGATTAAAGGGTCAAGTAAAACGATTTCTTTGCAGCCGGTAAGGTGTTTGGAATGGCAGAGTTTGTTGTTGTTTAGTAACATTGGTCAGTTGTGCGTGAAAATTAGCAGCCAGAGAGCACAACCTCTTTTTGCCGGAGGCTGTGCCTGAATAGC